CGCGCTGGGACCCGCCCCTCTCGGCCGCCCGCCTGCAACGAACTCGCGAGGCCTTCGCCTGGTTAGGCTGCAGCGAGGCCGTTCGGGCTCCACGGAAGAGACCGCCGGCTTCCCGGGACTCTGCTGTCTGCAGGCTTGTCCCTTGCAGCGGTGGACCCCGATTGGGGGGATCCGAAGTGCATACAATTTGAGGAGCGCTCTCTGGGGAAAATAAAAGGACACACACACAATTAGGCACAGGGCTTTGGAAGGGGCACCTGAGTCCAGCGCCCCTGCGGTTCAGGCCTGCCTCGCTGGCTGTAAGGTAAGTTCACCTCTGTAAGTACACCCCGAGCCGTAATTGACCCTGCCTGACAATGCTAGGGGATCTTAGAGGTTCCAGAACTTCGGGAGTTTTATTGAGTGAGTTCACTTTGTGATCATCTTCCTAACCCAGCCCAGCCCCTGCAGCTGTGACAAGGGGTGGACTTGTGTTCACAGGCAGGAGGAATACTACTCAAAATTGTGCTGCTCTGTCCAGGAGCAGAAAGAACTACACCTGGAAGAAGTGTTTTCCTTCTTCCCGAAGAAGGAGGAGGAGGAAGGCTGGCCCTGGGCTGCAGGGAGCGAGGGCGGGAAACAGCAACCCTAAGCCTTCCTTTGGATCCACTCAACCCTCTTCCTTTCTAGTTCTCCTCCTCTTGACAGTGCCTGGGCTTTGCCAGCGACTTGATAGCAAAGGGGTCCCGCATGGCCACCGTCTGTCCCCAAGAGCTGAGATCTATGCGGCTTCTGATGGGGTTGCTCAGCCTCAGGATCCCCAAGTGTCCTTAGGGCACTTAGCTATGCTCTCTCTTCCAAGACATGGAAGCCGTAGGTGGATGGATGAGTGAAAAGAGCAGCTGGATTATGTAGGCCCAGGGAAAGGCCTAGGATTCTTTTTGCACAGGGTAAACCTTGGGACCTGTATCCCAACACCGCTTGCTTCTTCCCCCGATTAAAAGATCCCATCGGAAATTGTGTGGCATCTCCTCTGATGTATTTGCCCCTCTCTGGCAGACTTGCAACCACAACGTTAACGAGTCTTTTAGTGGCCTTGTTGTCTAGCAAGGAGGGGTATGCATCTAGAGTGTTTGGAGTTGGTGAGGATGGGGTTTAAGGTCAGGCTTAAGTCCCTTCGCTGATGGCGAGCCATGACCTCCAAGAAGTCCAGGATGTGTCAGGGAAGAAGGAAAAGGTAGGACAAGCCTGGCAGGAGCATGCAGAGCAAGGGGAGACCCTTAGGCATAGTTTGGTTCTGTTTTCTAGGTGTGCAGTTAGGGGTGTTGGAGGTGTACCCCCTTCTCTGACCTTGCCTTTTAGCTTTAGGGTTGCATATGCACTTGGGTCTGCAGTCCACGCTGGTCACTACCACACTGTGGAGGGTGTCCAATCGCAAAGAACAATCAGCTGTTTTAAGATTAGTACTTAGATTTCTATTTCTTCATCAAAGTTTCTCTTGAACAGGAACCTGCTCCCCTTGTGCTCTTTCAATGAAAATGCTGATTGAACTTACTCTGTGAAATTATGGGGGATGTAAAATTGGTCACTTACTAGCAAGTCCATAATATAGGTTAAAAGAAAAAAGACCTCAGTCTCTTAAAGAAATGGTTCATGAATCTATAGATTTCCTTCCATGTGGGCATTGTT